AGCTGGGTATAAGAACCAGACTCGTAGGAACTGCAAGAAGTTGTCTAGAACCCTCCACACCACGTGGTGGCTTCCGATCATCACTATGAGAGAGATTACTCTAATTCATGGAGGGAAATTGTACCAGGGATGTGAATCTGTAGGATCTGGCAGAGCCAGGGCTGTGAGATCCAGCACAGACACCAGTGGCACCACCAACCACAGTCCTGACCTGGGCCCTAAGACACACCAGAGAGAGCAGACTGGTGGTAGCAAGAGAGGAATAAGGGAGACACATTCCAGGGTTTTTCCCACAAGGACTCTGAAAGGAAACATGGAGGAGATTATTTTCTGGTGTTTTCCTTCTTTTGGGTTAGGGTCACAGAGAAAAAAGACAGTGCACCCAGAGTAGAACCATCTTCTTCCTTTTCCATGAACTCCTTGCATCTTAGCCATCCGAGTGCAGTGGTGAGTGAAATGGATCAAAGAACCAGACTGACTAAGCTTGAAAGCTGACCCTGCCCCTAGTGAACTGTGGATATATTTTCTTCACCTGCCCCCCAAACATGAGGATAATTGTACCTATATCAAAGAATTATTAGAAGAATTATATGAGATGATGCATATAAGTAGGTGTTCAGAACTGAGTTTGGAACCAAATAAGTGCTTTTTTTATATGTGTCAGTCACATTATCACTGTCATCATTATCATCATGGTCATCATCATCCTTATTATCATCTTTACCAGTACAAGGAGAGAGAGTCAACAGAGACCAAGTAGAAAATTACTGTGTTTCCTTAAGTCTGGAATAGCAGGGAGGCATTATAAAGGTTGGCATCATTAATCTGAAGCAGTTTATATGACACCTTTGTGCAAATTAGAAAATGACACCCCCTCTCAAGACACTTCCCACCTACTTTCTGGAAAACTATCCTAATACACACAAACATCCATGATGTCTTTTCTGGAAAAGGTTATGCAGTGCACAGCTTTCATAGCTGTACAGTAACCTGGATTACCCTCTGGCAAAAGAGACCTGGTGAGCTGTGATTTGCTGAATAACCCAGAGGGGCGGGGGGGTTAAAGGGAACTTGAGTGGTCCCAGAAATGCCTGGATATGTGCACAAAAATTCCAACAAGGGTATGGCATGGAAGTATATGTCCAAGGAGAAGTTTCATAGCTTTTCTCAGATGTTGAAAGGAATTATGAGCCCCCCAAATTTAAGGGGACCCGTTCCAGAGGGAGGAGATGAGATGAGGTAGGTGTATGGAGACTGAGGTGATGCAGGAAATGAAGGCAGGCTTTATGTGCAGCTCTAGACAAAAGAGAGCCACTTAGTCCCTGGGAGAAGTCAGAGCTGGGATTCTTGGAATGTGGGAATTTAGAAACCCAAATGGGGACAACTGAAAGTCAACAAAGAAGGCCAAGAGCAGAGAGTTTCTATTTGTTAGGTCCAAGCTTGTCTTAAAACATAAGGAATTCCACAAGTACACCCTCTCTCTGAGTCTCTGTCCTCTCCCTACAAGGGACTTGCAGGCTGCTCTGCATCCTTTACCTAAGATGCAGTCCCGCGACTCCTCTCAAAGTCTACCTTACTAGAATTCTAACAAAATCTCAGTAAAGAAGATAATGACACAAACAGCCAACCCACTAATGACTTTGGTGACCAGGGTACCAGAGCACGAGGCTCCTCGCCATAGATGTGGCTGGCCCTGATGCTCCAGAAGGTGACATGAACACGTGAGCCCATGCTTCCAGGCTCTGACTCAGCTGTAGCTCCAGCTGGCTAGCCCCCCACTGGGCACAGGGCTCTGCACAGACTTTCGCCCTGATTTCAAGCCACAAGCTCCGGTTGTTCACTTAGCCTAAGGCCTCAAACAGGGGCGGCCCAGAGTTCTTCTCTGAGGTGCCCATGAAAAGTTAGTGCAGAGTGTGCCAGGGTCATCTTCCTGGCATGAGCAGTCAGTAGGGGGAGCAGCAGCAGAAACAGTGTAGTGCCCAGTGTAGTGGCAGGATGGGCCAGAGCAGGATCTCTATGAACCTATGCAGAATGGGAAAGGAAGGAGAAGTCCTGGAGCCCTCAGTGGCTTTTTCAGGCTTTTATTGGATTTACCAGGTACACAGAGACAGGGGTGCCGGGGGGCCAGGACACTGGCAGGCTTCCCAGCCCCCGGTGAGTCTTCATTCTTTCTGGGTTCTCTGGTGTTCTCTCTCTCTCTTGTTCTTCTGGCATCCCCGTTATGGCGCCTTTGCAGGCCCACTCTCAGCCCAGGTGAACCCACCTAAGTATGCCCACACCCCACTCCAGGTGTCCGCCATCAGGCATGCATTCAAGACTGCAGTATTCATCATTATTCCTAATCGCAGGAGGGCAGAAAAGCCTGACAGTCATTTACCCTACACCCAGCTCAGATCTCATCCTGAACTGCGCCTGAATGTTCCTGTTTAGACAAGTGTATGTGTACATGAAAACTTTGGCTTAGAGTTTCTTAAATAATAACAAATTATCAATTGTGGTTGTATTTTTTTTAACTTGAAATTTGGTCTTGTTCTTTGTCCCTTTTTCTTTTCCTTTTCCTTTTCCTTTAAAAAAAATGACCTGGCTATTATAAAGAGCCTACAGGTGAGCAAACAAACTTACCAGCACTTTGACCTTTCAGTCCCATATGGCAGAAAAATAAATCACTAAGTCAGCAGAATTCTATTTTTAACATGATTTAGTTTTGTTAATCTTTAACATTCTGTTTTCTTTTTTAACAGTTTTTTTTAAGAATTATTTTTATTTATTTATGCATACAAGAGCTGGGGTGTAGAGCAGAGGTGTGGGGGGTGAGAGGATTCACCAGAGAAAGTGGGGAGCAGAACAGGCAGATCTACTGAAATACACTGCTGAGGGGAGCAGTAGGCAAGACAGGAGTGTCTGCTGTTCCATGTGGGTTGCTCCCTGGCCAGGATCAAACTCATGCTGCAGTGGATGATGATAACTTGATAGTGCTGAAACTTAACCCCTGAGCCACCAGGGAGGCCCTAAGTTATTTTCTTATACAGGAAATTTCAATAGCCTTTGGATGATTAATTATTCAAATTGAAATAGGATATCCAGCAGTGTTTGTGGTGATTGTATTAAAACTATCGGGCTGTCGGAAGAGTCCTGATGTATTTTTTTTCTGTTTTCTATGCAAAAATGCGTCAGGACTCTTCCAACAACTGAATATTTCCCTATAAATACTTCTTAATTACCAACTTGAATGCCAGGAGCATACCTGGCAGAGAAGGCATACACTGTCTAGCACTGAGGAGTTTGTAGATCAGTGGGGGTGGGGGGGGGCGGGGGCAGGGAGGGTGCCTCTTTATACAGTTGTCATAGTTAGAGGCACTGGGGTGAGCACTATTACTGACTTGGAGCAGTGTTAGTGAATGCCTCTCCTGCTGGCATCTGAGGAATGTGTCCTGAGGGCAGGTTACTGCTAAAGTGACTCTGAAGGATAATGAGATTAGGCCAAGAGGGCAGGAAAACATCCCATACAAAAGGAATAACAAGTGAAATGAGTGAACTGCTCAGAAGCTTGACAGACTAGACCTGTTGAATGTCAAATGAGGGGAACGTGGGGCTTGGGGTTGTATGTGGGGAAAATAAGAACAAGAATGAGATATTGGGAAAAGCCTTGAAAAGCCTTCTATGCACACTAATTCTTATGACTTGATCCCCAGTAGGCAACAGGTGATCCTGGAATTCTCTGAAGTGCAGAAGAATAGTTCTGGGACATTGTGGTGGTGGGGACTAGACTAGTTCTATCAGTAGCTTCTGCAAGTGGTACCATTTATTCATTGAACAGCATAATTTTGCATGCAATGTCTACTTGTGCAATGTCTCTCGTGTGCCAAGCGCTGCATTTGTGATTTGTAGTTCTGCTAGTCTTCCTGCTTAATTTTTTTTTAAAGATTTATTTATTTATTCATTCAAGCACTGGGTACAGTCAGAAGCACGGGAGGGTGAGAGAATTTACCAGAGCCAGAGGGGGGAACAGAGCAGGTAAACTGATGAAGTACACTGCTGAGGGGAGCAGTGGGCGGCAGGAGAGGTCTGCGCGCCATGTGGGACCTTCACCTGGTGGCCGGGGATTGAACTGGCACTGCAGAGTCTGTGGGCAGCTTCGCAGCCCAGCACTCAACCACTGCGCCACCAGGGGAGGCCCTGCTTAATTTTCTTTATGGTCAACACATCTCATAAAAGTACAGACTATATAAGTCAAAGTATTTACACTTAATTAAAACAGTCCTGGCAAAGGTCTTTGTAATATGGTGCAGTAGATTGCTGCTTTTGCATGTAGTGGTCTTAGATTACTGCCTGGTAGTGTGACTTTTTTCTAATGGATGTCATTTATGATTTTAGGAATATAGGATATCAGAGACAAAAAGACCTTACATTTTCATCTAGACCAAATTCTTCCTTTCAATTGTAAAGAATTTCTGACCCAGAAAGTGAAGCTTAGTGTCCCTTAGCCTTTCAATTTCAGGGCTGAAATGTGGGCTGTCTGCAAATCTGAAGATCTTGCTTTTTGAGTCACCAAAGGCAAGAATTGTGTATTATGTATGCACTGTATCAGTTGAGGAAAGGCAAAGGCATGACTTCTGCAGGGTCCCTGCATTCATGTTTCTCTGACCTGGCTTTACTGCTCTCTCCTAACTCCTCCTAGTGAGTCCATTGTTCACAGTTTGCCCTGTGGTCCATTTCTTTCAGTGATCTAGAAAGTCAAACTTTTTTTTCTGCCCCCTCCTCACCAGAAAGTGTCTAATGATGAACCTGATTGTAAATGATTGTCTTCATTGTCTAATGATGAACCTGATTGTAAACCCAAATCCCTGCTGAGACGAAACTTGTAAGGGTTGTGAAACCTTTTCAACCCACAACCCCATGGACTGGACACATGCTGCCCTATTTAGGAATCTTAAAAGGAAAAGTTGAGAAGTTTTCAGCTGTTTAGTAAATGAGAATTGAGCCCCCACTTGGGGGCCACATGGCCCATTATGTCTGAGCAGGTTTCACTGTGTTCACAGACACCAGCTCCGTCCGCAGTTTACAGACAGGTGTAGGAGAGCTGCACGGGGAGACCAGGTTCTGGCATGGAAAGGACTACTGCAATTTTGTCTTCAAAGATTGGGTTCAACTTGATAAACCTTTTGCTGGTGAGTACCATGGTAGTGAGTAGCTACTTATAATTTGTCCCTTGTCAGCATCTCAAGAAATACACATGTTCATGATCTGTCATTTCCTTTGATTTGTTCTGAATATTTGGTAAATCTTTGGAGACTATGACTTGGGACTTTCCCTTGTAGATATATTTTAAAAAAGGAACATAAGGCAGAACTGACTTGTCTGAAACTTCCAGGTCTCCTGCAGGCATATTTGGTGGGGGTGGGGTCATAGTTTATTATTTTCTATGAGATGATATCCTTCCTTTAATCATCTTTTTCTGGTTATCACCTTCATCTTCCCACATTAGAATAACACATTTTCAGATGATCATTTTGCTTATATGTCTAAGAAGACATAGAGACGGCCCAGCATAGGTAACCTGGTATTGTTTCACCAGGATGCAAAAGAAAAATGTAATATCAAGTAAACAACATTGGATAATTGTTCTAACTCATGTCCATCTTGTCTAATGATTACCTGTTACTAAGTGAATGAAACATATTTGTGGAAGGTGCACGGGAAACTGTGTTCCTTAATGTGAGATGTGTGCTTCTGTTAGTTATAAAGGAATTGTTCCACCTGAACCAAAAAGGTACACATGGTGGCCATTAACCATTTCCTTTTACGTAACATCATTGGACGAGACTGGGGCTAGATGACTGCTGTCCTGGCACACAAGTCAGTGACAGTGCTTGCCTGCTGCACCTGGGCAGATTTCATTGACAGGTACACCACTCCCCGGATGCCCTGGCACGACATTGCCTCTGCAGTCCATGGGAAGGCGGCTCGTGACGTGGCGCGTCACTTCATTCAACGCTGGAATTTCACGAAGGTATGTGAATGGTTTTGTTGTGATTCAGTCCACTTGATGAGAGACAGGCCTGGTGGAGGAGAAACCTAGAGGGTTGGCAAGAAGGGGCTGCCAGAGTCCCAGCTGTGCCACCATCCACAGTTGGGTGCTTGGTTAAGAATGCCGGGGCCTCTGGACAAAAGACAAAATTACACCACTGACAATTTAGAGCACAAAGGTTGAACGCCACCATCAGGACCTATAATTCTAACTCCTTTTAATATCTGCTACACTAAGTGTTGATTAGGTGTGTTTGGCCTGGACCCATAGTCCTGTAGAAGGTTGTGGCGTTTCCGATGGAGAGTCTTGCTTAGGTGAGATGAGAGAGTTGGGACTTTAAAGCCCTTCAGCCCTAGCCTACATGGCATTCCTGTTAGCATAGGCTTCTGAGGGGGTTGCAGGCGAAGTGAGTTATATGACAAGGATGGGGCCATTTTTTCCCCACCAGATTGTGTCTTCTTTAGTTTGCCTTCATTACTTGTAAGAACTTGACCTAACTTTCTAAGTTAAGTAACTATCATACATTGTTTTCTTTAAATAGTGGTGAGGCAGTAATCTCCCCAACAATTTGTGAAAAAAGATTCAGCTTTATCAACAACAGTGTCTGATCTAATTGTTTGCCTATATAACATTATACAAATTTAGTGGGAGCTCTTGGAATTAATGGGTATATTTTTAACAATAATTTAAGAGGGATGAATTAATAAATAAAGCAGTATTATTTGTAGCCTACTGGCCTGACAAAGAAAAAAAAAACATTTCTAGTACTTGAGTTTGGGTTTGGGATTTTTAGTGCTTATTCTGCTCCTTGGACATCAAGAAGCTTTTTAAATCGGGACTAAAAGGACAATGGTGTAATAAAGGAGAGGACTAGACTTTTTTATGGTGAAATGAATGTATTATATATATATTGATTTTCAGTGGTGCACTCTTGAAAATTATATAATGCTATAGTGCATTGTTACTTCCCTTGGAAAAAAAGGCCTTTGAAAAAGCATCCAACTCTTGACTCAGAACATCTATTTCAGATGTTTAAGCTTAAGAAGCAATAATAAATAAGATAATGTATTTTGATATTGTTTCTAGTAATTCAAACAAAGAGAGAGTGGAAATGTTCATTAGTAGGATGTTATTAAATCATGACTGTTCCATAGCATATTGCCATGAAATTATTAAAAATGGTATATAGTGCTATATTGCTATAGCAAGATATCTACAAAATAGTAAAAAAAAAAAACAGTTTACAAACACTATTCTCATATTTGCAGTTATATACCTCTAAGACCAAAGATTTTTTAAAACATTCTTTACAAATATAAGGAACTACATGGTCACTGAAAAAGAGAAAAGAAGGAAATGTAGGAACTAGAAAACAAAAATAAATAATTCACAGCCTCTGACATTATTGTTTTTCTCTTTCAAATGAATAAACCTGGATTTTTTTTAATAATCACAAAATAGGGAAGAATGAAACTTTTTTTTCATTTGAATCTTCTTTTACTGTTTTTCTTTATTTTAGATTATGAAATCAAAATATCGGTCCCTTTCTTATCCTTTTCTCCTTCCAAAATCTCAAGCAACAGCCCACGAATTGAAATACCAAGTACCTGGGTCTGTCCATGCTAACGTACAGGTAAGTTTGATTGTTCTTTTTCTCAAAGTTTCACTGGGTGAAATTACTCTTGTTGCACTAAGTGCCATTCATACTGGCCTTGTCAGTAAAACAACTCCAGAACAAATCTGAATCAACCTTTTAAAATGTTGTATTATATTTCCTATTTAAAATGTATTCAATTCACTCTTTCTAAAATTTCTTAATAAACATAATAAATTCATGTACTTAAAGAAATGCCAGTCAAGAAGAGGCTTGTCCTGTATTCCCTCTCAAGTGACCCTAGCAAGTGATACCCAATAAGCCTAGAACTGATACTGGTTAAGCACCAGACAGGTGGCTGAAACTTAGCATCTAGGAAACTAGTTATAATTCAATCTAATTTTTGTTTCTAGTTAACCAAATGCCTTTTAGAGGCTCTTTCAGTAGAATAAAGAATTTGCTTAATACAGTCAGAGAATTTTACCATATCCAGTCCAACCCTTTGAAATTACAAATCAGAAAATTCAGACCCTCTGGAGTTATGAGACTTTCCAGTAACTTGCTTGTTATTGACAAAGGTGGAGCATGAAATCCTAATCTAGTTCATTGTTACTCAATCTGCTCCCTCTACCAATTCCAGCTCAAATATCTTGAGGTCATACAGTGACAGAACTAGGATAACCACCTTCACCATTGCCCTTGATTCAAAGTTATCACTGTCAGGATCAAAAGCATTGCTTAAACAGAGATCCAGCATTCTGCTACTGCAATCACAAATCAGGCTTTATATCATTTGGACATGGAGTCTAGTGAATAAGTTCATATAAATGAAATGCCTAAATCAGGTGCTTTGTACTATGGGCAAGTAGAGGTATGTGTATATAAGAAATAAAAAGATATTCCAGACCACAAATCAATAATAGAACAATCAAAAAGATAAACCATTTGAGAGAAATCCCTGTAGGAAACACTTAATCATCCCAGGCTAAAGGAGACAACTAATTTAAACTTAGAGGCACAGATAGATATGCATTCCTATATAAGTTAATGAATATTTTATGAACCTATTTAATTGTATTCTACTTGGAAGGGAAAATTACCCGTGCTGTAAGATAAAATAGGAACCTTGATATTAAAAAGAGAGAGAGAGAATTTAAGATTTGAGATGGCATTAAATTGATTCAGTGATCATCTTATCAAAGTTAGCAAATGTTCATTAAGCATCTGTTGGAAATGCTTTGTAGGGAATTGTGTGTATTTATGATCAGCAAAGGATCTTTTATCCCAGGTTGCATATGCATATATATATGTGTGTGTGTGTGTGTGTGTGTGTGTGTGTGTGTGTGTGTGTGTGTGTCTTCTGATGCCTTTTGGTAAAACCTTGTTTTGCATATTCCATCCTGCTGCCCTAGTGTGATAGATACTTTGCATAACCACTGCACGAAATACGAAATGCCTCTCGAGAGGCATTTTCTCTGCATTAGTAGATGCTGTGTTAAGAGTGGGACCAGATCACTGATGTCCTCTGATAGTCTCATGGCTTTATCCCTATTGGGCCCAGGAAGTCTGGACTCAGAAATCTGCAAAACCAACTAATTTAAAAGGAAATTTACCAAGATGCACTCCTTCATGAATTATTTATTCAGTCAACATCTGTTAAGTGCCATTTGTTTGCACAGTGAAGTTACCAGCACACACTTAGATGCTGAGGGGGCCACTGAAAAGGAGTTCTCTGCCTCTGGGAACTTAATTAGCTGGAAGAGAGAAAACTGCAATATTAAAAGAATTCAGTTAACAGTGCAAGGAATGGTCTAGGACTAAATGCCAGTATGAAAGTGTGGGCCACACGCCATGAGGGTTTGAATAACGAGAAGGACAGGACTGAATGTCCTAAGGAACAGCCTGCCTGCCAAAAGATGGGAGAACCAATGGTAGCAAGTCATCTGCTCTTAATTGATGATTGATGAAGTTTAGATGCAGAAGGTGTGCCCCGGTGTGTTCACTTGCTTAATTTCAAACTGATCCTAGAGACATTAGTGGCCTTTGGAACTTTATCTTGCATTCGAGGAAAAGCTTGATATATGAATTTTTTATGAAGATTAACTAAATCAGAGCTTCCCACCTGCGGTTTACCTGCTAATAGCTATTCCACTAAAATGATTTCCATGGACAAATAAGTTTTTGCAGATTTTTTTAAAATACAGAACTTTTTAAGTGCCTTTTTTATTCTGGTGTGTACCATGAATGAATGTGATGCTGCAAGCATTTCCCAAGCTTCATTGACTGAGGAGCTCTCATTTTGTTGCACATCTGTTTCTGTTTCATTCCCCACACGCTTTGGGACTGAAATTTTTTACATATGAAGAACTTACTAGACTAGAAAGAGAATGAAGGCAAAGCAACAAGTACAGAGGCTGTCACAGTAACTTAACATGTACTAATTTTGTATTTGCAAATCAGTATTCTTTTTCTTAAAGAAAACTCTTTTCCACTGCAAATTTAAAAGTGTTAGACCTCATAGAACCTGGATCCCTCCTGGTTGTCCACAGATAATTTTCAGAACTACCAAAATAACTCCAGTTGTGAAGATAATGGGTCCAACCCAGCAGGGTATCATTTTGAAGACAGGAAAGTTTGAGATGACCAGAAACTGACATAGTTCCCTGATCCGTTTCTCCTTTTGGGTTACATTCTGAGCACAATATTGTTTCACTTCACATTACTTGCTGGCTCTAAACATTGTTTATCTTGTTCTAGACATGGTTGTTTTCTAACCATGAACATAGCATGCTTAGCTGGTGGAAGCAATAATCTAATCCAATCCCTGCTATTCCAGAGAATCCAGAAGGGAGCAGGAGATAGACACTTGGCTGTGTGTGGTCTACTTAATTTTTGGAGCTTAAGTTGTCAAACACTGGTCTCGGTTTCCCTCAGAGTTTGAGGAAAAGGAAAGTGGTTTCATTTGTCGACAGATGAGGAGGGCAGCAGACTCGTGTCTGAAAGACTACCATCCTGCTCTTTGGCAGAGGCCAGGGATATTTATACAAAGGAGTAAAAAGGGTTGATGGTTGAGGGTCAGCCTGTCTTTTAGATGCAGGCATCTGGAGATTTCTAGGGAGATTCAGGTGGGGGGCAGCTTGATTTGACATCTGGTGTTATTATCTTCTTAGGAATGTTCTTTCTTTTCCTTAGAATGTAAGATGAAAGGTTGTCAAACAGGACAAGGTTGTTAAACAAGGAGGGTAAATAAAAGAAATAGGAATGCTTATCTTGGTGGGGCAGGAAGAGAGACACCTCCTTTTATCACTAGATCATTTAGGGTCATATTTTTTTAAAACTTTCACTTTCTTCGCTGTTGCATAGCAATAGCCAAATGGCTGTTACACACTCTTGGTTGAAGAATTTATTAATATTCATCCTTAGGTTTATTGTTTTTAACATAGTTTATTGTTCATTATTTAATATAGAGACAACAAGTTTAATGAATTATAAAGGAGTAGTATAATGTAGTTAACAGAAGAGTATAATGTAGTTAACAGAAGAGGCAGATTTTAGGGCCCAACTTTGTGTTCAATTTCCAGCTTTGCTACATATTAGTTGTGTAACCTTGGAGAAATTGTTTCACCTCTCTGCATGCATTTCCTTCATCTATAAGCAAGGATCATAGTAGTACCTGTCTCATATATGATGGTTAAATAAGCCAACCCATGCCAAGCACTCAGGAAATTGCACTAGTTTGAATTATTAGCTACAAGCATTCCGCGTTCTTTAGTGTTTTTTATAAGTTTATAACAAAGAAGTTGACATTTCTCTGTCACTAAGCTAGCTCTCCATCCAAAATCTTTATACTATATATTTATTGAAAGGGAAAGAAAGAGCATTTGACGAAATAAGTAATGGATACAATTCATATTCTTTTATCTGTAGAAGGGAATACAGCTATTTAATTTTTAATACAATGGGCCTCCCCGGTGGCACAGCAGGTTGAGTGCTGCGCTGAGAACCTGTCCACAACCTCTTCAGCATGGGTTCGATTCCCAGCCGGCCTGGGAGAAACCCACATAGTGCAGCAGACCTCTCCTGCCTCGCCCGCTGCTCCCCTCAGCAGTGTCTTCTGTCCATGTGCCTGTTCTGCTCCCTACTATCTCTGGTGAATTCTCTCACCCTCCTGCACCTCTGACCTGTACCTCAGTTCTTGTATAAGTAAATCTTTAAAAAAAAATAATATTGGGTCCAGTCACCCATGGGCACCTACGGGTGGTAATTCCATGCCTGCCATGATGCACAGCTGTAGCAAAAGGGTGACGCAGCCCACAAGGTGCCCAGTGCTGTGGCAGGCATGAAAGGTGCTCCCCCACCAGCATGAAGTTCTGCTGCTAAAAATGTCATCTAGACCTGAGAGCTAACTTCAGCAGCTTCCACTGACTCTTGTAAAATAATCTTGGGTGTTTCCCTTAGTGCTGGGCATTCTCAGAAGCCTGCCAAGAGCTCAGTGAAAACATAGCAGGAGAAAGGGGTTGGAGGAAACTTGGTTCTGAAACTGCTTATACACAGAGTATATAAACAACTTGTGTTCTCCCAAAAATGATTAACTAGATTGTAAATGCTTTCATTAGCACTTCAGATACATAACCAAGACATGTCTAGTAAAGTAAAAGAAAATGCCTGATGCCAAAGCGATGCCATAAGCGATCACTACATGGAAATAAACCTTTTTCTTAAGTTAGGCAGCTGATGTTTCATAGTATAGCCAGAGACATTAGCCATTAACTAGAGCTTTTCTCTTAAATGGGGAAATTGGATTTATAGAAATTGAACTGTATCTGCCTCTTTCGAACACACTTATTCAGATTTTTCTCAAAAAGTATTTTTTTCAGCCAGGAAAATTAAAATTTACTAACCCTTTTTTTAAAAGTTAGTACAAAATTATAGCAAAAAAAAAAAAGAAGATGAAGGGCCTCTCCTGGTGCCTCAGGCGGTTGAGCACAGCACTGTGAAACTGTCCCCAGCCTCTGCAGCATCAGTTCGATCCTGGCTGGCCAGCTAGGGTCCCACATGGCGCAGCAGACCTCTCCTGTCGTGCCCGCTGCTCCCCTCAGCAGTGTATTTCGTCAGTCTGCCTGTTCTGTTCCCTACTTGTCTCTGGTGAATCCTCTCACCCCCTGCACCTCTGGTCTTTACCCCAGTTTTCATAAATAAATAAATCTTTAGAAAACAATGGTCTCATCAGGCTTATATCCCTGAAAAGGATATAAGACAAGGCAGGAGCCATCTTGATTCATTCAGGAGATGATTTCTCTTTCTCCTGCCCTTCCCTGTTAACCTCAGGGGAGAGTATGTGTCTGCTAGTTTTAATAAGTGTTTTTGCTTTGTCAAATCATTTTCTCTGTAAATACCCAATATTTTTCTTTGTCATTCTAACTTGCTTAACCACACATGGTTCCCTTGAACTCCTTCCATTTTGCAGGAAGTGGTAACATTTTGCCTTTCTTTCTGGCTGAATAATACTCTGGAATGTGGATATGCCACATCTTGTTGATCCACTCCTCTATCAGTGAGCACTTAAGTTGTTTCCATGTCCTCACTATTTCAAACAATGCTTTAATAAACATTATAGAGCATATAATTTTTTAATTTGATGGTTCATGTTCTTTGCTAGATTATTGGGTCACTCTATTTCCTTTTTTAGCTCTTTAAGGTAAAATCCTATCACTTTACAAAGTGGTTGCATCAGTTTACATTCCCACCAACAATGCATTAGGGTTCCTCTTTCTTTGCATTCTCCCCAGCTTTTGTTTTATGACATCTTTTTAATATATGCCATTTTCATGGGTATAAGTTGGTATCTTATGTTGGATTTGACTAGCATCTCCATTCTCAAAATCCCTAAAGAACATTTTTCCATGTAACTATTTGCCTTGTCCATATCCTCTGGTGAATTATCTGTTCAGATATGTTCCCCATTTATCAATTACTTTTTATTGCTAACTAGAATTGATGTATTTTATATATTAACTCCTTGTCTGTTATGAATATTTTCTCCCATTAATTATGACATCTTTTTTTTAAAATTTATTCGTGCATACAAGAACTGGGGTACAGGCCTAGAGGTGTGGGGGGAGGTGAAAGGACCCACCAGAGACAGGGTGGGGAACAAAACAGGCAGATAGACTGAAATACACTGCTGAGGGGAGCAGCGGACGAGTCAGGAGAGGTCTGCTAAACCATGTAGGCAGCTCCCTGGCCTGGCACTGAACTTGCATGGCTGCAAATAGCTTCATAGGTTGAGTCTTAACCCCTTGAGCCACCAGAGAGGCCCTAGTTATGACATCTTTTTAATCTACCTATATTTTCTTTATCTCTGTAAAAGCTTTTTTGAGATAATCCAAACTGTTTCTGATTGCTTTTATTTCTCTTGCTGTAGGAGCCAAGTGCCCATAAACATTTTTATCACATATGTCATGGAATTCACCACCATGGTTGTCTTCTACATATTTAATTTTTTGAAGGTCATCTAAGTCTTTATCTTGACTTGAATTTATCTTGAATTTATTGTTGTGCATTAAGTTAAAAAGTGGGCCAACTTCATTGTTTTTCTTGTGACTTTCCAGTTTCCACCACCATTTTTTAAAAAGATTTCCTTTCTTTTTGTGTTGTTGTGACTTCTTTACCATGAATTAACTATTGATATACACATGGGTTTATGAACTTTCAACTCTGTTCCATGGATCCTTGCATCTAATTATTTTAAAGATTTATTTTTATTTATTTATGCATATAAGAACAGAGGTGCAGGGGGTAAGAAGATTAACCAGAGAGAGTGGGGAGCAGAACTGGCAGATCTACTGAACTACACTGCTGAGGGGAGCAGTGGATGAGACAGGAGAGGTCTGCTGCGCCATGTGGGTTAACTCCCTAGCCTGGGGATCTAAATCAGGCCAGGTCCCAGTGGCGGCTGATAGCTTGATAGCACTGAGGCATTAACCCCTATGGCACCAGGGAGCCCCCACCTCCAGCATGTGTCTATTTTTATGTCAATACCATATAGTTTTAAAGTATAGTTTAAGTCAGTTGATGTGATGCCTTCCATTCACTCTTTTTTTCTTAGAATTACTTTCACTATTTGAGATCTTTTATGATCCTATATAAATATTTTGTATATTTTTGTATGAATATTATTAAATTTGAAATAAACTTAATTCAAACCTCCTATGATGACCTGATCAGGAAACTTGTAAAAGTCTTCAAGTCAGGAAAAGCTGCATCCAACCTATTGTCAGAGTTTTAAAGGTCACACAGTACTTTCTTCTCCCTAGAAGGTCTTAATTATCTTGATTGACAGAGTCCTGCATTCAGTTATTATAACTGTTTTGTCAGTTGGCCTGAAAGCAGCAACAATAGCAGAGTTGATTTTTAAAATTGCATAAAGACAACACACATAGAAGAAAGTGTCTGCTTTTTAGATTTTGATACTAGAGGGCATGCTGCCTATAACCACCACCTTATAGTGCAGAAAGCACTGGATGCAATGAGAATGTAATCATATTGAATTAGATGCATTAGGAGTTAGAAACAAGAAGTTAGAAATCTTGTGTGAATTCTCTATGTATCTATTCTCTAGGGATCCTGTGCTACTCTTGTTATGAAACTGAAGTACATATAGAAAAAAAATCCTTTCATTATGCAAAACTTTACACTTGTGAAAACAATTCAGATTGTTTCATCTAAGTATAATTTTTTTCTGCAGGTATCATCCAAAATTCCCCACAGACAAGACTTTCATCCTCATTAGGAATTGACTTTAGCCTAACCATCTGGGACTCTTCTATTAAATTTCTGCCAGGGTTTTACATCTGGTTAGCTCCACTCTCTAGAGCACATTCTCTACATTAAATGTTATTGAAACTGATTTCTACTCCATACAGATGTTTTTGCAACAGCAATTAAAGTTTTTCTTCCATAAGTTGGATCCTCTTAAGAAAATTATTGCAGTGATTCACTCTGTACATGATTGCTTTCTGCACTTGTATTCTTTTAATTTATTTTACTCTCCCAACCATGGTGTCTCTCCTCTTCATCTTCCCCAATAAAACAACACATTATTGAAAATAAATTAATTAATTGTGTAGCTTAGAGAAGAAAAATCATTCCTTAGGCAATCATTGCTGAAAAGTCCTACCAATTTGAGGGAAATAATTCCACTGGTGTTATGTCTTTGTTCTCTTTGCCTATTAAAAAGTCAAAAAAAAGAAAGAAAGAAAAAGAAAAGGGGAAAATTATGAGCAAATGTGAATGATGTCCAAATTGTACTGCTGGAAAATTTTTTTCTTACACTGAAGAAATAATGTCCAAATGACATCCCAAAGGATGTAAAGTAAAAACCAATCTAAATTTCAAAGGAAAGCAAAATGTGTTATATTGTGATAGATTAGAGTAGATAGGTAAGGGTGAAATAATACCACTAAATTTATTTCTAATGACCAGGTCTTCATGCAGTAACAGTTCTGTGCTTGTTCCGTGCCCTTGGCTGGCTAAGTCTTATTAATGGGGAGTGCCCATCACAGTATTAAACTTTTTTGGGTTCTCATTTATTATCCATGCCTATAAATTACACATGTTGCAACCCTCTTTACAGATGAGGAAACTAAGCCTTATAAAGATTTTTTTAAAAAAGCATAGCACCAGTTAAAATGGCATATATTAAAAAAAAGCAACCATAAGTGCTGGTGAGCTTGTCAAGAAATAGTAACCCCAATACATCCTTTGTTGCAGTGTAAACTGATGTAGTCATTATGGAAAAAGGTCTGGACTACCTTAAAAACTAAAAATGAAAATATCATATGACTCAATAATCCCACTTTTGGGCACCTATCCAAAGAACAGGTAACTACCAACTCAAAAAATTATATGTTCTACATATATTTATAATTATATTTATATTATAAATTATATTTATATTATAATTACAATAGCTAAGACATGAAAACAACCTAAGTGCCCACTGATAGAGGATTGGATTAAGAATATATGATATATCTACATGAGGGACTACTATCAGCTATACGGAAAGACAAAATGTCACCATTTACAGCAAAATGGAAGGACCACAAGGGAATTATGTGTACTATATTAAATCAGAAAGATAAAGACAGAGAGTGATGGAAGTGAGGAATGAAGATCACCAACTATGCATAGACTTTACAATTTTCTTAATCCCCACTCAGACACAGCCTACCAAGAACCCCACTCTGCTTAACCACATGTACCTTTCCCTCCCCTGGAGAGGATAGGACTTCTCCATGTGCTCTGATAAGAGGACTTTTCTGGACATAAAGCCAGTGTGGGTAACCCTGGGGTATTTTGTTTGTTTATTCTTTGAGATGAATATGGATTAAAATTCTGTGATTTTATATAAAAAAGAAAGATAAAGACAAATATTGAACATTTCCATGTTTTTGAGTAAGACAAGGAATCATGGCAGATAAACTGACAAAGCAAAATAATGATAAATTAGTGGGCATAAATGAAACACAATTTCTGAGGTTAAGAGAGCAAGGGAAGGGAGAAAGAGTCAAAGGGGTATAAAGGATGGTGGTGGGAAAAAACAGCACACAGTGAGTTAGTGCTGGGGGTAAGGCTGGATTCTAAGCAGTCCTACTCAGTGCCTGAGGTTGTCACAGTAAGAGCACAGAGGCTGCGAGCGGGGATGATCACAATCACCAAGGCTGCCTTTTGAAATCATCTTCTGTTGCTATAGCCCCAAACCCATCCCCAAATCTCCTGTTTTCTCTTTCTTTTTTTTTTTTTTAAGATTTATTTATTTATTTATGTATGTATACATGCACGTACAGTCAGAAGCGCGGGAGGGTGAGAGAATTCACCAGAGCCAGAGCGGGGAGCAGAGCAGGCAGAAGGACAGAAGTACACTGCTGAGGGGAGCAGCGGGCGGCAGGAGAGGTCTGCGCGCCATGCGGGACTCTCCTCCGGTGGCCGGGGAGCAGCCGGGGATCGAACCGGTGCTGCAGAGGCCACGGGCAGCTTTGCAACCCAGTGCTCAACCGCTGCGCCACTGGGGAGGCCCCTGTTTTCTCTTTCTCACTTCCCCGAGTCCTCAACTATAGTTTTTTCTTCCACCTAGAACTTCTCAAGAGTAAAAGACTCTCTTTCAGCCTTAACTAACTTATCCCTGCTGTTCAGGCAAAAAGATCACCCTATTCAAACAGTTACACACTGTGATACAAATGGATGACAATCAACTATAGAAAAGTGGTTATTTAAAGAAATAATTTGAGGATAGGCAGCAGATTTTTGGACAAGGTCCATTTCTTGATACTGCTTGCCTACTGCTGCTCAATCCAGGATAAAGGATAAAGTCTAATCTGAGTACTTTCCTCTCTCCCAACCCATTTCCACTTGTGAGCTTCTATGTGGATGCCAGCTTCTGCTTAAGAGACATCTGAAAAGTGCTTTTGTTTCAGCAGGCTTTCTTCCATGTTTGGACTTGAGGGCTTAGGGAAATAAAAGGAAATTAAGATATATACCAAATAATAGGGAATAAAAGCAATCCTGAAAGCAAAAGAACTTGGAGTAAATACTAAGGCAGGTTTGAATGTGGTTCTTCAAGAATAGATTCCTTTATTTCAGTTTGGGTCGACGGTATGTAAGTGACTTGGGCTGTGGATAAGACAGGGTTATCTTTTAAGTTTGAAAAGTAGGGCATAACGAATGGCCAACAGGCATATGAAAAAATGTTCAACATCACTTATCATCAGGGAAATGCAAATCAAAACTACTATGAGATACCATCTTACACCAGTGAGAATGGCACATATTAAAAAAACTAGCAACAACAAATGTTGGCGAGGGTGTGGAGAAAAAGGAACTCTCCTGCACTGTTGGTGGGAGTGCAAACTGGTCCAACCACTATGGAGAGCTGTGTGGAGATTTCTGGGCCTACTAAACATAGAGCTTCCATATGATCCAGCAATTCCACTCCTAGGTATTTACCCAAAGGACACAGAAACATCAATTCCAAAGAACACCTGCACCCCTATGTTTATTGCAGCACTGTTTACAATAGCTAAGCTTTGGAAACAGCCCAAATGCCCAAAAATAGATGACTGGATCAAGAAGATGTGGTACATATATACCATGGAATATTACTCAGCATTCAAAAAAGATAAACACATGCAATTTGCAGCAACATGGATGGCGCTGGAAGGGATCATGCTCAGCGAAATAAGCCAAAAAGAAAAAGAAAAATACCGGATGGTCTCACTCATAGCAGGAATCTAGAAAACTTAAATAAGGGACCAGGAAAATGAATAACTATAAGAAAGTGAAAATCAAAATCAACCAAAAACTATGAGGGGGGCGGGGGTGGGAGGGGAGGGATTGAGGTCAGAATGGGGGGGCTGCAATTGTATGGGGAATATAAAAATAAAATTTATTATTTAAAAAAAAAAAAAGAAAATATCAAAATCAACAAATTACTATGAACAAGAGACACTCTATGGGGAGTGGGGGGCGGGGAAAGGAGGGCTTGGGGTAAAAAAAGAGGGTTGTAATTGTATGGGGAATATAAAATAAAATTTAAATTAAAAAAAAAAAAGAAAGTAGGGCATAATACAAAGGAAAATGACTAGTTCTAGCTACAATTTTGAGGCTAACACATGGAATCAGAAATATGCCCTTTTTTATAAACTTTAAAATTATATATTCAAACTTGAGGTTTGAAAATTGTGGGTTAGATTTGATTCTCAGTAAACTTGCAGCAGTTAGATAAGCCACATTTCTGCATGTCGTTTGAGGGGAGCATGAGGTTTTTCTTGGCTGCATTTGTTTAAAACAGAAATGCAAGGCAAGTCCTTCAGGTCAGCCAAGAAAAAGAAGAGAGTAAATCTTAAATTGAACACAAAAGGAAGTCAATCAAAATACATGACATATTTGACTGTTTACAAACTTTCAAAACCATAAAGTGTTTAAAGGGTTTTAGTTGGTTTGTGCATACCATCAGGGTTCAGTGGTCCCGGGGTAGAGGCAAGGCAAAGACAAATTCATATTTTCAATATGTAGGCAGATTTTTTAAATATTAGAGTAATAGTAAAAGAGAAATAATCCCAAGTATTATTTCCTGTATTACTTAAAAGACAGATTGACATTTAACCAAATATGGTGACTTTTTAAAGTTAAACGAGCTTTCATTGTGGAAAAACAATAGTGGTGTGGACTCCAACAAAGGGATAGATGATGCTCTGTGACCTCCCACATTCTGTGGCTTCATAGGATCAGGAAATTTCTCCTCCATTTTTCGCATATGCTTTCTCACAGGCTGATAACAATATGTTCTTTGTTTGGCTTTCAAATTCACTTATTTTAAACATTTAAATGCCTCTGTGAAGGGAAATAGTTACTGTTATTCTTCACAGAAAGGATGGCCAAACTATGACATTCATGCTTTCACCTTCGTGGCAGCCTTGGCCACCTTAGATTTCTTCCAGTATATCTTATTCCAAGAATCCCTTCTTCAACACATCTGTCCATGAAGCCACTTGAAGTCAAATAGACTTGACTTGTGAATTGAAACTTGCTTCAACCTCCTAATTTATATCTCATGTAGATGTGTTTTTAAACCTTTGGATAGAGCACATTTTGAGAGTGAGAAAGGAAAGAAAGTTCACAAAAAGTTTCTGGATTTGAGAAGTCTAAGAAGTTATAGCTTCTTAGGTGGTATATAAGCTTTCCATAACTTGTTACAGAGCTGGCCATCCCGTACGGTGAATATCAACTGTCTGCCACATATTATAGGTCTTTGTGTTTGTTATGCCATTTTATTCCTTCACAGTAGCTATGTGTATGAGTGTGTTTGGGGAAGGAGAGTGGGATTTCATTTATACTATATAGGTGAGAGCGCTAAGGCCTAGCCACTAGACCATAAGGGAGTTACAGAATTATACTGTGGGGCCTCCCTGGTGTCACAAG